CCTCGGGGTTGGGGGGGTCGTCAACGTGAATTGAGCTTTAATTGGAAACGCGCCACGCGAGGCCAACTTCGACCCTTCCTTGGAAAAGGACACGGATCGTTATTGCTACAAATTGGATGCAAAAGAAGGAAAACAACAACGTAACAGCCATTGGAAAGGAAACTGCGGCCTCAAAGGCAAAGGAAAGGGCGTGACGTCATCGGCCGAGACAGCGTGGAGTTTTGGCCCTATTGACCTTTCCAAAGGTATTTCGGCGTCTCAAATATACCAGGAGCTGTGTAAAAGCTCAGTGGCTGAGATGGCTCAGCGGGGAAAGCGCTTGGTAATGTGATTTTGCGGTCCCGGTCGACCGCTAGTTCGAATCCCCGCCGGTGAGCCTGACCTGCTGCGCGTCGCTGGTTCTTTGTTTCTGGGCTTGGGTCCTGCCGCCTGTGCAACCTTGGGCAAGTTGCACAGTCCTCACTGGCCCCCCTTGGCAGGACCGTCAGTCAGGGCTAGGCAACTCACTCGTAGGTAGCGCAGGCAGGAGGACCCGAGCCCAGAAAAGAGAACCACATTTTGAAAAATGGCGGCCGGACCCCGGAAAAAAAAAATTAAAAAAACCTTTTTTTTCCTTAGGCGCCCAGCGGGGATTCGAACTTGCAGACCCCGAAGGACCTGTTGCCTTTGCAGGCGCCGAACCCACTGAGCCACCGCCGCCTCTTGGCTCCACCCGCTGATCTTGGTATATTTGACCTCTCTACCCCTAGAGGCTAAAAGCTGAAATAGGAATGGGGGGATTCGAACCAGAGAGTTCAGGTCTTCTACGTCATTGAATTTACCCCTAGGCTAATCGGGAAACCGGAAGTAACCTTCGGGAATCGACCCTATGTCTCTCCAGCGAACGGAGCGCTGCTCTAAAGCCATTACAAGCTGCGCCCCAGCGTCCAGTCCCTGCTCTTTAATGCGAGGGTTTCTGCCTTAACACGTAGAAAATCGGCGGTTTGGAGTTAAAACGTACGGATCTCCAACTCTGGGCCGGAATATCTAAAGTTGAAGCTCTTGTGGGCGGAGCCGGAAAATAATTTTTTTGAACCTGGGGACTCCGTACTTGGGAAGCAGCCCTTTGCCTGCTACGCTACCGGGCCCGGCGGGATCGCGCCTTGGAAT